TCCGCTTATTAATTGAAATCGCGTTCTCGAACAAACTGTGATAATACGACATTAATTCGATTTAATTAGCCGCTCATTTGAATGCGAAAAATGCCCATTTATCTCGTTGATGGATGTTAGGTTTTTTCACAACGCGTATTGTTTATTTACAACAACTCTAGAAACTGTTCGCGTTGTGGAAATTTCTGTTTATTAATCGTACGAATAAAAGGTTTAACTCTTGGAAGTTGTTCAAATAACCGGACGATCTTATCGCAAAATAAACGACAAGTCCGATTATTATTAGTCCATACTGTGACATACATAGGCATTACCGACCGAACAGGAATATCAATGGCATACTGTGAATAGGATAGCCGACCAAATCCACCGAAAAATGGGGTTAACATGCGTAAGAAAATACCTTTTAGAAATCGTTCGGTGTGCTAAAGTAGCTGGCGATGTCTGTCTCCTCGTAGTCTATTGTGTCTGGCCATTCCGCCCAAAATGTCGTATAAATATTTGCATGCATATCAAAAACCATTGGCGTGTCTAACGTTTTTCCCACAAAATTCCACGTACATCTATTGACGTTAATCATCGAGAGGTCTAATTAGCATCTAATTTGCGATGGTTTTTAAATGGAATCAATACACTTAGTTTGCGTCAATATATATTCAATTAAATAGTAATAATTAATAACTAGACATTACTAGGTAGAGTGAAAATATTTTCACCACACGTTTGATGATTGTAAACAAGTAAAAAAGTTGATATTTTAAATACAGATTCTAACAAATTGTATCTATGTAGTTTATCAGTAATTTATTAACTACAAATCGTGTTTAAAAACTAGCATATTTCGGGAACAATTTATTTGATTAACAGGCAATAATTTAACCATGAAAATTGATATGATTTTATAAATTTTAATGCATGAAGTGCGACGCTGGTGCACCCGATGTGTGTCACTCAAAATATCGGCATGGCCTTTTTGGTAGGAACGCAAACACGGATTATGCTATTTAAAAACAGCATGCTATCCATTGTGAACGAGTGTGTTTATATATGGGAAACAGGAAAACAAGGATAAAGGTGGAAGGTATATAATCCGCTGTGGCCGTTCGATTACCGTGTTACTCGTTCATTTTAAAAATACATCGGGAAAATGTTCGCGAAATAGCACCGTTTTCCAAACAAATTGTCTATCATTGGAAATCTGCTAGTACGCGAACGAATTACCTTCCACATCAACAGTAATTGCAACCGACAAACGAGGACTGTTCTCTTGCCCTTGACGGCAATAAATAAGTATTAAAGGTAGCAAAAAAACATGCTAATGGCCAAAGACAAATTCCTTCGATCGCTCAAACCTACAGCTTTCTATATCTAAACCCGCGCCTATTGGGAACGTATAAAAAGAATTAATAAGTCAATTAACGGGGCTCGTACCCCATCGGAACCGGCGATAATAATAATTCGCCGACAAAACACCTGTGTAAGAAATACGAACTTCATAGGGGCTAACGATGCCGAAGTCTGTCCGTTTTTATTAGCAGAATCGATGATTTTTTATGCACTTTTCCGTATACTGTCAACTAGAAATTTCGATTAATTAAACATGAATTCAAATCGGCAATTATAATGCTTTTAATTTACATGCATATGCTCCCATTAAAACATGGACATGTGTTTAATATTTTGCATTATGAAGAATGCAGTTTGTATGTAGGCATTTGTATTAATTACAAAAATAATTCTTTAAACGATGCTAAATTAGTTGATTTTTTAGAATTTTTCATTCATTCATTTACTTGAATTTTCAGGTGGAATATTATAAGGTAGATTGGGGCAAATCGGTTGTAAAATTTGAATAGTTCAAATTAAATCCTAAAATGTGGCTTTATTTTTTCTCTTATTAGAAATGCTGATACCACATTAAATTCACAACTTCCTAAACTAAAGAATCGAGATATTAAAAAGTTTTTTTTGAAAAAGGAGGAAAACGATTTCACATATTTTTAAAATGTTGACAATCTGTTACATTTACCCCGTACCATGGGTTCTCACTGGGTTCAAACTGTTCTAAAGTGCAATACAATTATATAGAAAAACATATGCTGGGGCAATTGTAAAAAAATATTTGGTTCCTCTAAAATTTGATATGCTGTTTATTTATTTATTTCAAAAAATAACAGAGCTACAAAATAATAAAGAAAAAATAAGAAACAAACCCTGTCTAATGCACCAAAGAACTATAAAAATAATAAAAACATTAACATAATAGGTAAAAATATTACATTTACCTCATTTTTACATTTGCCCCAGTCTACCTTAAAGTACTAAGCTGTTTATAAGCTCAAGGAGAATTCTAAAATGGTTCTATGTATTCCTAGAGAGTTCAAAATGAGTTTGAACAGTTCTAAATGATTGTAAACAGTTTTATATGCTCCAGGAGAGTTCTAAAATGGTTTTAAATGATTCGGGAGAGTTCAAAATGGTTTTGAACAGTTCTAAATTATTCTAAGCTGTCCTGCAGTGTTACAAGAGTAAATAGACGTTGAATTATAATGCCGTCTTTCTCCCTCTCGAGCGATATGGTACTATAATAAAAAAATAATTAACAATACGGCGACCTCAATGCTATCGATCATTAAAATCCATAACTAATTTTTTCATTATGGCTGTAGCCTTTTGAGTGATTTCCTCCTACCGGGCAAAAACCAGATCCACTTCTTTCTTCTCACAATTCGCCATAAAGACACCTCGCATCGTTATGTGTACACAATACCTATGCATACATAAAAAAAATCTCATCATTCGTCTTTCTTCTTTTCTTCCACCAAACACAGCGCAAATCCCTCGGAGATTGTTCCAATTAACAAGCAGTGCATGGAAAATTTATGATTGATTTTTTTGTTCAACTGATATTCTAGGATTGATTAATATTGCTTATTAGTTTTTGTATACATGATTAAGTGTATGAATCGAGAGAAAAAAGTGTATCTACAATTTTAGTGAGAATAGTCGAGGTTTCATTCATAAAATCTGGTCTACATACTGACGCGTTTAGTGATGATAGTAAAAATTTGTATTCGAATGAAAATTACGTGAGTGACGTCCCAATAAATTCGGATCTGTCCCGACTACCTGAAGTAGCGGCCTCGTCTTGCTGGTTTAATTCTTCGCGGTTTGATGAGCGGCGGCCACCTATGCACTTGCGCATAATTACGAGGAATAATTAATAAAAATCTGTCAGCTGCCGTAATAGAAAATATCTCGCCATCATTCATCTACAACTGAGGATAATGCGGAACATCTGGCCGTGCCTTTTCAGGACTTTTTGTTTGCCTTATTCCGAATACGCCACCTGATTCGCGCCCGTCTTCGATGAATCCATCAAACAAATGTCTCGATATTTCGATAGATACTTAAATTTTAAACAATTTAGGTTTCACTGCAGGGTTGTATTCGGCTACGACGATTCTATTATCTTCCCCGATGAAGCATTAATTATTAAATTTCCATACGAACCGAGCGTCGCATTTGCGATGTGGAAAAATCGAAGTTTTTGCATTTTTTATTAATTCGAAATAATTGAGTTATTCAGTTTGTAAATTTCAAAGGAGGCTTCCATCATAAATTTAAACGACTCCATAAAATGTAAATTTTTTTAAGAACTGTCGGCCGGTGAAATTTATTGAAAGCTCGTACTCGATGCGTGCATAAATTATAATGACATTATGCAACAATTTATTATTTTCCTTTTTGCTTTGCTATTAAAGCCGTTATACTATAAAATTTATTAGGATCAGCTTTCTAAAAAGTGGGTACTTTATAGACAATAATATTTATTGTTTTGTTGCGTTTATACCACAATAAAACGAATTAATTAAAGATAATATTGTTTCAATTAGCTTATTATCAAGTAAACAATTAAATGCAAGATTAACTCCACAATGGTTAGTTAATTAATTAAAACATTTATACACAAAAAAACATCGTATAGAGTACAAACCGAACTCCGGATAAAAATTACTCCAATGGTATAATAATAATTATGAAATTCCAGTTCATCCAGAACGGCAGTTTTCCAGCCGGGCGACTCCATCGATCCGGGAGCGCGGGTCGAATAAATTCCGGGAGACTTGGAGCAGAGACAGAGAGTCAATTCTTTGCAAAGGAAGAAAACCCAACGGCAAATTATAGGGGAGGATATTTTTGAATTAGTAACATTCAAGCCGGTGTTCGTTTGCCTGGAAGAACCGAAAAGTGTGAGGGGAATTTGGAAAATTGACGGATTTTTTCTAAAGGTTAAATAATAATCCCTTTTCGGGTCCTGGCTTTACCCTTCATGTTTCCACCGGAATTCCCCACCGAAAAATAGCAATACCCAATTGAGTAGGCACCTGGAAACTTTAATTTATTTTTTGCAAACTGAGAAATTTGGAAATATGTGTAGTAAAACTATACATTTTACATGGGAGTTCCGGTTCGTATAAATTTCGGAATTTTCTCCGTTTTCCGAGCAATTCAAAAATCGTGTAATTTATTAGAATAGAATAAAAAAAAAGCCTGGGAGCATACGAGTGGAAATCGGTCGTCCATCTAATTTAAGTGTCGATAAATTAAGCGGTGCAATTGTCGTTAAAGTGGCATCCAGTAGTCGTAAAAGAGACCGCTATTTCATAAAAGTCCGGCCGCATAAAATTTTTGTCAGCGACTCTCCGAGCACCTCAAATATTGCGGTAATGCAATCGCATCGAATGTACCGTTCGACGGGCGCGCATACATCATTAAAAGCCTTCGCTGGATCTCGAGATTTCTGTTAGAAAAATTAAACGCTTGCGTACCTACTTACTTACCTTTGTGTATATGTAGGAAGGATCGTTTACTTAGCGAACAAATGTTAATTTCAACTCCTCTATCTCTGTAGAGTTGAATAAAACAGCGAGTTAATATCTGCGCATCTGGAGGATTGAAGAAAAATGCGATGGTTTTTAAAATTTGTTATTTATTTCATATTTTACACATTTAGAAATATCTTTTCATGTAATATTTATAATTCTTTCCTTTCTAATTTTTCGATTAGAACTACTTTACAAATAAGGTACATCATCCTCGTCTCGACACACACCGTACAATCATCAACTATGAGTTTTTAATAATATATAATACAAGAATCACTAGACAAAAAAAAATCGTTCGCTAAAGCACTTTTTACAAAATGAATAAGAACCGGATGGGCGCCGTTTTGTTTAATTTATACAATATATAACAGAAATATTAACGCACCAAAAATTACAATACAAGTGATAAAGATTGGCTTTTCTTCCGCACTCGTTCAAATAGAAAGCAATAAGTTATTTTTGTTTGTCCTTACCACATGTATTTTGCAACGGGGTACTTATTTAGCAAAGTACTGAGTAGTACAGATAAAAATTACGTTGGCATATTTGAAATTTACAAAATATAATCCGATGAAAATTATTCCATTGATTTTTTTGTGAAAAATACTGAGTACTTTGCTGTTCATAAAATGATAGTTTTGTTAACAATTTAATTATATCACAACTAATTTAATTATAATAGTTAATTGAAATGCACCAATTTTAGCAATAAATTATATAGGCAAGAGTCGCCTAATAATTTTTTATTCAAATTGTCCTGTACAACATGAAATAAAAAAAGTCATCGTAAAATAAACAATGTTAATCAAAAATTTGGGATGCATGTTTTGCATTAATTTAATTTAAATAGTACTAAATTGAATAAATTTGCTAAAATATTACACTTACGTTCATCATTAACAAAACTATATAAACAATAAAATCACAACTATTTAAAAATATAACAGAACCAGTACGTACTTCTATATTACATATTTCCATGTTTTCATTTTTCAATTAACGACAATTAAAGTAGCAATTAAAAAAAATTACAGATTGTAACCACACAATACGATGGAAATAAAACCGGGCGATACTTTAATTATCGTTTATTCACATATTGCACCTTGATTCATGTTTCACATCTCTCCAGAGATCCAAACAAAAAACCGATTTATACACTGAGAAAAGCCCAACTCAAACGTATCCAACTTAAAGCAACAAGAGAATTGTAACATATATCATACATTTAGTCACTGGTCGTCACTGTTCCTTTGTTAAAGAGTTTCATTATGTTTTAATTTAATTAGTAACTATTCACTTATATCTTCTATTAAACAGTTGGCCAAACCCTGCAACAGAAAAAATTAATTAGGAAAATGGAGCCAACTAATCGCCCGTACAATATGACTATACAGTGAATAATCTTTGCATACATAAAGTAAGTTTGGAGTAAATTAACTATGACATCACAACTTGATTTTTTTTAATACATTGTATGAATATCCTGTACAATGAAATAAAAAATTTGTATCTACTCATTTTTTATTAAATTCAGTGAAACACGTCCGAATTGCGTCGAACAGATACCGATGTAGAAAACTCGCACGTAGGTAGTTTTATTCATTACCTACATCCTTTCCTAAACAACCTTTATATAGCATTAATTTCAGCTCGCACGCTAGTCCGTATTGCAACGATAATTTTCCACGAATTGTCATTTTTTTTTCTGTTATATAAATTCATATAAATCGGTTCAGTTGAATGCGTACAAAATAGTATTTATCCTGTTATGCAAAACTAGGCACAAAAACACGAGCGTTGAAACGAACGAAAAAAAAACCTCAAGGAGACCTGTCCTCAAACGTCTCAAAATATGTAATTACCGCCGAGTCACTAGTTAGTTAGCGACGACCTACTTCGTATTTTACTCGTAAAATGAGTTTTTCATCAACATGACACGACAATCATGTGAGATTTTAAATCTGACTATCGGGCTAATGGGAATAATCTGATTTGTGCTAGCGAGAAACTCGCGGGTTTCCGGGTGTACTGTAGCTCTGTATATGATTGGACATTTGAGAAGCTGCGAATTAAATACGTCGATTGTGTATTATTGCCGAAGGGTCAGATTGCTAATCGAGCCATTCAATTCGGTAATTATTACAGCAAACCGATAAATTACTGGCATTTCGGATAAATTATTTATTTTATATCGATTACCCGCAGATTCATAGCAAGTACTAGATGTGTAATTAGCGAGATTAGGGGGCAATTATTACCTCTTACACGAATTGAAAAATTTACGAAACGGTTTGAATTATAGTCTTTCAACAACAAATAACAAATTTTCTGAATCCAAACTGTCCTGAATGTGCATCGAAAATTGTTATTCTAGCATAACGTGAGCGCGGCGTTTCTTCGAGTTTACCTCTATACGGCATCGCAAAAATCAATTTCAATTTTTAATGGAAACTAATAAATGAGTCGCGATGTTAATTATCTTTTCCGAAACCGTACCTAACGAAGAAAATCTCGTAGGTAAACAGTTATCCAATCAATGCTATCAACGCCGACGGGGAACAGTTATCGATAACGACTGATTGAAATCTAAATAATATTCAATTAACGATTGAATCTGTCGCCAATTAGCGACCGTTAAATTAACAGAAATTCGTGAAAAAAAAGAAAGTTTACTTTCTTCGACAAATTGCCCATTAGGGCCATTATCGATCGAAAAATTAAATGCATAAATGGATAATGAGCTGATCACTCTACGAGGTTAATTTGACTAAACCGTTTTTAATTTAACCATCATTTACTGTAATGTGATTAGAGGTGTAAATTAAAAGTAGGTATCTATTTTTTACTGTTTTTTTAGAAATTTTTACTGATTTTTACACCGATAGTTACTCAAAAAATTGAATCAAATAACACGATTTTTTAAGATCATAATTAATTTAGAATGTAGTTAATTAGTTTTTATGTGTAGATACTCTCAAAAACTGTTAATATTTCAAAATTTGAAGCAGACAATTAAGAGTTACATAGAAAATAAATAAAAAAAATATTGAACTTACGTTAAGAGACCTGGATTGTCCGTGGGATACCAAGAATACTGAGGGAGGTAGTTGTGGGGCGGCGGGTGCGGATGCGGATGGCTCGTGTGCGGCGGCGGGTGGATGGATTGCTGGTGGGGTTTGATGTCGCCCCAGCCGCCCCCGCCGCCCCCGCCGGCGCCGGGACTGGCGGCCGGTTGCGTTCCGCCGCCCGACATGTCGGAGCCGGGGGTCGAGCTGGGCGCGGGCGAGGGGTGCTGAATGTACCCCCCGGTCGCCGGACTGCCGCTCGATGAGCCGCCTCCTGCAACAAAAAAAATAGATGGTTTTACAATTCATCCAGATTTTCTACTATATTTTTAACAGATTTTGGTTCATTTTTATTTTTTATATCCATGCATGGTGTATGATGTGTATGTACTATTATGTAGGATTCTGGTACTCGATAATGACAAAAATAAACTACTTTCACTATAAGAATTCTCAATAAACTTAAAATTGAAAGCTCCCATTATTCATTAGCGAAAATAAAACATCATTAAGACAAGTATAAAATTTACCCTATATCTTCAACTACATCAAAAAAGCTCTATTAAGTCTTCTGTTGGAAGAGTTAATTATCATTTTTTTTATTCGAATCGAATTAATTTCGGAGTTAAACGCGCGTAATTGTGAAATTTGACCAATTTGGGGTTACAAGAAACAGGTGAAAATTCTCGGGATATTCCACGTAACTAATTGCTAACAAATTGTCGTATTTGTTCGCCAAATTGCCGTAATTTTATTAAAGTTAATAACGCGAAAGGTGTTGAAGAGGAAATTGCGCGAAAAAATTGTTTGAAATTGGCATACTGAATTATTATCATTGACTTTTATTTTCAATTTAACGAACTGTTATTTGTGTTTAATTATTTTTATGCGTATATAATTTTTGAGAGTATCACGATATACTAACTAATTTAAATTTTATCATGTGTTTTACAAATTTAAATAAAATTGTTGACATGTTCTAATTCCCTTGATTATTAATAGGAATTTGAGCACCAGTTAATTCTCCTATCATTTACACGAAAAAGGGTTTCTTGCAGGTGATACATTTCAGGTGGTGAATGAGAAATTCCAAAAATTTTAACTACACCTATATATTTAATTTAGTTCCCTCTATTAAAAAATTTGATGGTAATTTGATGAAGAATTTCCAGTCAAACCCGCCTATTTATATTACAAATTAAATTCGGTATTTTTCGAGCGCAACACAGATATCAATCTAGTTGCGTCTAGTTGATATTCCATAAATAAAATTTTCATATAAACAAGTGGTTCTTCTGTAGGAAACTGGTTATCTTATAAATTAATATTTTCAAGTAGTTTTTTTCTCGCTGGTATCCGTTTGAAGAGCGCTTATGTAAGCCGAGCACAATCTAATACCGAGTGTTAACTAATTCATGAGTACAGGACTAGCTGTGGGCTCGCAGAAGTAATCTGTCACTCATCTACGAAGTCTTCAACATCACGTTCATTTTTAGTCATTATAAACAGTAATTAAAAAAGCGCGAAACAGGGCCGGATTGAATAATTAAAATGTGCAAAAAGCGCCGAGAAATTTAAAATTAAAATTGCACGAACGCCAGGTCAACAACTCCCACAGATATTTCGACAAATTTAATACATGTAATATCCTCGTAATTACCGAGTGTATGTTAACTTGGAGGTATCCGTTATATTTATTTTCATTCATAATGAATGTATCGATTTGTTCATAAAATAATCATATGTGAATCGCCACCTAGCTGCATACAATGATGCATTAAATTAATTTCACCCATCATTACAATTACACTTTAATTTGTCTTGCACCACCGTGGAATTGATTTTGTATTATGCATTTATCACAAAATAAATAAATTAAAAAGGTAAGGGGTAAATTATACATTAAAATTAACGACTAGAGTTATTAAAACAGTTAGATAAATTGCTCTTTTCGGCGCCACTAAACTGAACAATTCATAAATAATAAAGAATTTTCGCGTTGATATTTTTTGCTGCAAATGAAGTATCCTTCGCTATTTTACAATGTAAATCGAAGTCCGTCACTGAACGGCACAAAATCCAAGTGGAAGCGAGAGAGACGGAGAGACAGGTTTATTACAAAACGCCACAATCTCCGCGATAATCTTGAAGACCTTGTAACATTTTCTTTGCCTGCTTCAACCTTTGGTGAGGCCCGAGGGCATCTAGATAATCACGATCCGGTGAAATTGTACGAAATCGCCGCCGAAATGGGAAACGGCGGAAAATCGGGGAAAACGTGTGGGAATCGAAAGAATGTGGTTGAATTATAAGAACCGATAGAAGGACGAAAAAGTGGACGAAATAGAGAGATGATGAGAAGAAGGAAGAGTTGCCCTAAAATAAAAGGAATTGAATTCAAGAAACTCAGGATTCTATTAAAAGTAAGCTTTATTGTTCCAATAAAGTCTATTTTGTTTAAATATTCACCTTACTGGTTGTTAGTTGGTATTGAAAAAATCTTATCTAAAAAAGTGTATGAAACATTAGAGAAATGTGAATTATTTCTGCTATTAGGATTCCTAGAAATTTATTTTGATGTAGATAAATTAAGTTATTATTCTAATTTGTTAAATGGGTAGCATGAATTTAATAACTATTACACTTATGTATGTGTATAATTATAACAGGTTTAATTCATTCAGTTCAAAAGTAGATCAATAAATCGATCAATTTCGAGACCAATTTCCCAAAAAAATCATCAATTTTTTGAGAAAATAATGCAAAAAGAGCATATAATATTTTTGTTAAAGTATCTGTTATAAAAATATTTTACAGCGGATCATCGCAACGTTTTATTTTGTACCTACGTTTGTTATTGTTTGACATTGATTAATTTGCATTTCAAGGTTTTTTTACGAACAAAAACTGCTCAACTGCAACAAACATACCTTCTACATACGTTTTCGAATCATTTTATTCGTATTGTTGCATTTTCCTTTTTTTATTTTTTCATCGATTTACACGGGTGCATGAAAAACCTAACAAGCCTATTAATTAACGAGCTTTTTAAGTTAATTAAAAATCATCACAACAATTCCGAACTACTTTACCATTGTTTAGAGATATTACGAAATATTTTAAAACATTCCGCCGGAGCAAATTAGGTGACAACGTGAAAACACGCTCGTTGATTCCATCTAATTCGCCCGATTACGGGCTTTTATGCGACAATCAATCACATCGGGTGCAAGATCCCGCAGATTACCGGGGCCCATTAGACTCGAAATTTATTCGTCCGTGTTTTGTGACCCGTTGCCGGCTCGAATTTGAGTCGAAAAAATGTTACGAGAGCGACCTTAGACTCTTAGAATTCATGTGAAATAAACGTTGAACATTTTTTTCCATGTAATTAATCAACGGGCATGCATATACGCAGTACAGCGTTATTAATCATGCACCTATGACAGTCAGTTTCTATTTTCAAAAGATGCGAGTGTTTTCGTAATGGCTCGATGCAAAGGAGGATTCGATACTTTTGCTAAATAATTTATTGTTAAAGAGAAAATGTTGAATTTAAGTGGGCATGCGGCCTGTAGCATGTGGAGGATTAAAGTTTTAAGTTTTACCATGAAATAAAAAACTTGCTGTTTAACAAAATTAAACCTCTGATTTGAAAATAATTATCTAAGATAGTTGGAAAATAAATAAGAGATTCGAGAACACAATGAAAATTCCACAGTTGTTTGAATTTCAAGGATTAATTTAGATTTATGTACAAACAAAAAAATTTAGTTTACAAATTTCTGATCAATTGATAAATAAATTTATCATATATCATAGTTTGGTTGTTTATTTACTACATTGTAATTTACAGCAAACTATACTTATTCATGAATAATAATTAATAAACCAGACATTGTTTATTATAATAATTTTGCAACAAATTTAATACACGTTCACGAAAACTTGTATACAAGAAATTTAATAAGTCTCTCTAAGGAAATAAATAACAAGGAATAAATAGCATTCTTGTATTACCTATAAAATTATTTTTTATTGCTCACAAACATTCTTCAAGAATAAAAAAAAACTCCTCGACTCTAACGAGCATATGTACTCTACAATATAATTATGAGCGTATTGGAAAAAATCCGATATTAATGAGTATTCGGTCCTGACTCGGCATTTCGAGAATTCCAATTTTTCGAAAAGAAGCCCAGCGCATCAATTAAAAACGCGTAATTGAACGGCGTTCCTCAGAAGCTGACGTACATCAATTTTAATAAATTCGATTCGCCGATAATTGACAGTTTTTTCATCAATACTTGATGTATTCCCGGCTAGTGAGAAAACTATTATTGCGAGGCCTGCTCGAAGGACGACGGGAAAACGTCAGGTTATTCGACAGCGAGATTTCAATTGTGATAAATACAAAAAAAAATGTCTGCATAAAACGTCTAATAAAAATTAATTATTCATTTTCGTATGTAGAAGTGTTGATTAAATTTTATTTCAAATTTTGCAGGATGGGAAAACACAATTTATTAAGTGGTGATAAAATGATAAAATATGCACGATAAAAAAATCACGATATTTTTGGAATTTCTCATTATAAGGGATTGTTTTGTGCTATGTACTAATGTAACATTAATTAAGAGTGATGTGTAAATTAAAATTTCATTTTAGTGATGATGGTATTTTTATGAGTAATTAATAAGAGAAAAAAATGAAATTTTACCTTCCATTTTGATCCTACCTTGCATCATATTCTGCCCTTGGGGTCCGGGACTACTCGAGGGCATATTTGAATTAGGACCTAACAAACCCGAATGCCCGCTGGGCGTACCGTTGTTGTTCGTACCCCCGGTCACTTGGGCAGCCTTCATCATTTTCTTGTATTTACTTCGTCTATTTTGAAACCATATTTTCACCTGAAACGAGAAAAAAACCGTATAGATTAATACTGTATAAGTGTGCATGTGGATATTTTATACATCAAAAACAATATTATAATTTTAATGTTTATTCCGCGAATAAAATCATAAAAATATAATTTATAACACGTATAAAACAGCAATAAATTGCCGTAAAATACGTAATTACGCAACTTCTGAATATATGCGTAGCGAAAAAAACTACTAACAAAATTATTAAATTTAAGAACGAAACGTTTCAATTATATTTACAAAATGTAGGTGTACCCGCTAACATGCAGGTAACTTCGAAGACGCATTCGAGATGCATTAATCTTCTAAAAGTTGATTATTTCGTATAAGGTAATGACTTACGGACGGCGTGCACGTTGCCGTAACACATCGCAACTCGTTACGTTACAAAAGATCTTTGACAAAGGTCGCCGGTGGAGCTCTTGCTGTGGAAGAAAGCGCGGAAACGAAGCGAACGCAGCTCGATTTTATGCAAACGAACCGAAGAATTCTCACGAATAAATCCGTGTTTAACAGCATTAATTGCTCCGCTTACCAGAGAATACTTTGGTTGAACGAGGAAGGATTCTGGTCCGCGTAAAATAGTGTAAATTGGTATCAGTTGATTAATTCATTGGATCTTTAAATCAGTAGATACACAGTGTGGGACAATAGCATTTAAAAAAGCTCACTATATCTGTTACTGTAGATGACATGAAAAAAAAACTTCTTCACAAAAGTTTTAGATGCTTTAATGCTGCATATTTTGAAATTAGTTACATTTATGCAGAGTGTCCCGTTTATCTTACCTTAATTTATAAAACTAGGGCATGTAAATAGTGAAGAATAGGCCGCTTCCGTAATGGCCATTCTTCCTCCTCGTTCGCTCGATAAATAAAATCATCATCGGAATGAATCATGTCGTCGTTTGTAAAACAATCGAATTAATTTTCAACATGGCTAAGCCGAGTAACCGTTTAGTGCTTGCGTCAGACGCGGTTCAGTTCGTTCGAAATTTACGGCCCAATTTCGTCATTTAATTCCAGTCGAAATAAATTTCTGATATTTTATTGAATGCATAAAACGATTTCCCCGCGCGGGGAGTTTCTGGTATATAGTTTTTTTTATTATTTTACGACAGTTGTTCTCGCGGTACCCACGTGTGCGTCGAGCGGGAACTTCTAATCGCTCTGTAATGGTACTCGTAAATTTTTTAATAGTACGAGAGATTTTTACTAATCGTATACGCGATGTAAAAATTTTGTAATTCGATTTGGAAACGTTGCCTTGTAGTCGATGAATCAATATTATGAATATGAAAAATGGATTAATATATTCTGCATAATTTATTAGACTACATGAAATATTCGAGATCGATATTTAAATGATGATAAAATTATGTTTGTATCTGATACATTGTTGAACTAATTTTTAGAGCTAAAATATCCCAAATAAATTAAGAAATTATAATAATAAAATTTCCTTGTAAAAACCTAATGTAAATGCATTTTTCCTATATATCTACATCACCGGAGACCGATCTGGTATAAAAAAAAACTTGATTTATATACCTTCCAACTGCTACACTGAATAATACATTTCGTAGCGATAAATATCAATCAGATCGATATCGACTAGCACAAAATAGTAATAAATAGCAGTAGTCGGTATGGAAATGATTCGATTAAAATCGCCATTTCGACTGGACCATTGCGTAACCCGGTTTTTCGTGAGAAAATAGTGCCGCTCCCTACGGACGGCGGTCCGCACAATTGGTAATGTGCTCCACCATGTGTAAAACGGAAACTAAACGCTGATGCCTTAGGCGCACCGAACACATACACATAGGTACACACACCGGTGGAAATTTCTTTTTGTTTCGAGTCAATTTTTTCGCATTTTTGTACCCAGATAACGTTTGTTAACAGGTAGAGAACGGTATATTTTCTAGGTCTTCGTGCGGCGCGGGAACGCGAATCTAGGACGGATTTTCGTTCGCCTTATTGCACTCGCAGCTCTACGGCATTAATCACGTTTCACGTTGTGGATGGACCTCTCTGGAGCGGTTAGTTACAAAGTATTGTAATCTAGACAAATATCGAGTTTTTGATATGGGAAAGATTGTCCACCAAAATTTTAAAAATTGGGTTTCTTTCCTGTGTGATCGTTGACATAATTTATGCAAACATGATTTTGGACGGTTTTAAATAGTTCTAAGATGGTACTGAACTGTTTCAAATGCTCCCAATCAGTTCTAAATGATTTCGAACAGTTCTTATTCATTCTGAAACAGTTCAATATTATTCTCAAACTATCCTGAATTATTTAAAAAATATTATCTATATACGAGGAATTACATGTTCTGCGTATATTCCTGTATCTTTTCCTCTCAAACGATTTTACTTATGATGAACTTCACTCTCTTTCTTGCACTTGCATTATTCCTATTAGTACGTAGTAGAAGTCTTTTAAATTTTATTTTGGAAGCTAAATTAATATTTTTTGTGCAGAATATTGGTAAAAAATGTCTAATAAAGGTACGATGCTGAACCCTACGGCTGGGCTTTTGTAATTTATTAATGGAAATAAAGTGAATGTCGACGAAATGAAAAACTTCTGTTTGGGTTCGAACTGGGAGAAGAAAAAAAACGTGTCAATGTCGACGCTCGCGGCATAAATTTCGATGCAAAACGAAAAGCGAAATATATGTTAAGTTTCGCATGAATATTTTATATCCTGCTCCCATAAAAAGTATCCGTATAATAATAATGCGTTATTAATATTTAAATTTGAATGCCCGCGACCGCCATAAGGTGTATTACGGGTATACCGAGAAATCTATCTTTTATGTATAAACTCGAGGAAAATGAGATACTAAAGTAAAATTGAGAGGTTCGTAAATGCTTTGTTCGCATAACAATTTGTTGTTTTGTGGTTTTTTTGCGAAGCACGACATATGTCATATGCCATTATTGTCAATTCAGTACAGAAGATATGTGAACACAGTTTGACAGTTTTGTATAAATGTTGGGCATCTCAAAAAAAATTAGGACTTTTGGAATTTCGAAATGTTCTCCGACCGCTTTAATAGGCTAATCTTCTTAACCTACAAATGCGACATTAGCAGCGGGAACGAGCGAAAATTGATTTATAATTACCGTAATCAAACGCGGTTGCGTAATACACCGAATTATTTTTTTTTAGATTGTAACAAACGAGTCGTAACGTTAGTATATAAGCGTTCTTTTCGTTGAATCGGAGGATCATTTTATACGACATAATAAAAATAAAACGAGACATATGTCCGTGTGTGCTCGTCAGATTTTATACCTCTTCTTTATTTTCCACCTGCAACCGTTTTTACAGGGGCGGGTTACCGAGTATATTTTAGATTTATTGATGTTTGTATCTCTTATTAAATTTTAATGATTTGAAAGCAATTTTTACACTTAAAAATTAATAGAGAGTCGAGATATTTTTCCATTAGATTTGGCAATTATGTTTTGTACATATACGAATGTTTCTAATTTGTAAAATGTAATTCGAAAAATTTCGAAAGTCATTCCCTTTCTCGTATACGATTTTTTAATCAAATACGTGACTAATAACGCCCGATCGCTGTTATGAATGGACCGCAAACCGTTATATGTGTGGTTAAAAAACATATTTTTCCAAAAGATTGAATAGATTATTTATGTTTCTGAATTACACCTGCAATTAACTAAAATCTCGATAGACGCGCTGAAATTCAAGTAGGTGGATTGAAACTAAAAAATTTTGCACTTTATCATGTTTTATTTCGAGTCGACTCCTCCGATTAATAAAAAAAAAATAGTTATAGGAGAAGAATTTGTTTAATTAATCTTGAAATTTGGGTATTTGATCGAACATTTAAGAAGATATAGGAAGCCAATATACTTTATTCATGAAGGTAAGAAATATTTTTTATAGTTCATCTAGGAACATCCTCATCTAGGAACTCAGGATTGGACTACCCTAATTATATTTTCGGTACTCCAAAATACTCAAAAATAATGCCTAATACATTTTTATTCTTGTGTAATAAAATTAGTAAAAGTCCCGAAAAAGTAATTCTTCTTACTGATTCTACTTTTGAATAGCTTCCCTTCTATTACCAATCCCTTTACAAAGCATTTCCAGCGAAATTTCATATAAAATTTCGAATAATTTACGATATAAAACGAACCTTCCCGGGTGTCCGGCACTGCATCGAGCAAGTCGAAACATCCCTTTGTGCCGGCCGACAGACACATCGAGCCGAAGCTACTGGCGAAATATTTCCAGCATTTTATTCAGAATTCTTTTTCGTTTGCGACCTCTTTCCGTCCGGCGAGCGGACGTTCGTTTTGTTTGTTTTAGTTAACGTCGGTTAGGAAGCGGATTAAAATCGAAAAACGAACGCCGGGCGAACGTACCGTAGGTGTATACTCAATTAATTAATTCGATTGTCATTGCGCGTAATTAATTTCAACGACACACGGTCGCGTTCATTACCGATTCATTCATTTCGGCGAGCGATTTTATGTTAATAATCGCGGTTTGGTGATAGCTCGTTAAGTTATGGCCGGGTTTTAATTGGAAGGTGGAGAAGGAGGAAAGATTGTTAAACGGATCTGCCTTTAATATACGCGTAGTGTTTTCTTTCGGTTTATTACCTATACCATCAGATAACATCTCTTTAAAAACTCTGGATATTAGTTGAATATGTTTTATTTAGGATAACGTAATTTTATATACAGGGACGCACCGGAATTCAACAAATTTTAATTGGTTACCCAAGTTTCGCACAATTTTGGCATTGTACACGAATAAGTAGGACTTTAAGGAGGGGTTTTGGCGAATTCGCATTAAGAAAGGTTTTATTCAAACTAAAAATAGATAGAGAATATAAAAATATACTTAAATCAGCGATGATTTTGTTAACATCATGCCTCACGTATCTTCGGTTAATGTATTTCTCCATTTTCTCCTCGAAATGTCAATTA